GACCGTCGTAATATTATGCCAATGTAACTCATACGATTCTTTATCTGTAATATAAATTAGTGACTACGCATTTGTTTTCTGTGTCTATCATTTCTCTCCCCTCATACATAATATAAAATACATACACGCAACCAATAAAACCAACAAAATAGAAACATTGGATTACCTTCTCAACAAGTCATTTATTTATATTACAGTAGGTTCGGCGTCAAAATGTCGTTTCTAATAATAAACCAACTCGATCTATGACTAGTTTCATTAAGTATGAATTAAACTCAAAACTACCTACACTTCAATGTACCGAAATTGCCTATACACCACGCCGTCCAACAATATATAAGAAACAACGATAATATTATACTTCAATATTATTATTAATTGCAATATTTTTTATGATCCATTACGAAACAGGGACACTAGGTATGTTGTAAATCTGATGCAACAGTTACTATACGTGAAGATCATGCAATGTAGTTATGTTTAGAATGATTTAATACCAATTTTATAATTCTATGAATGTTATGTACAAATTTAACGTTGTTAATTATAATAAAATTATCTATTGTTATACAAGTTAAATTTCGATTGAATTATGTTTGAACTATATTTCATAGCGATTTCAGTATTCATTAGAGTATGGATTTGTATGTGTTAACATAATATATGCAGCTGAGATAAACTGAATGTTTCAAGCAATTAAATATTGATGGTATTTTTTTTTTTACTCATCAGCGCTTAATATTACATATTTACATATAACATATTTTAAGTTAATCACATATTGTTGTTATATTATCCACAAATTTGAATAAAATCAAGGGAAAATGAGGGAAATAAAAAGAAGAAAAATTGAGCTTGGTAACAATGTAATTTTAACTGTGGCGGCGAACTGTCTACTAACTGTTCACTAACTCGTTATGGGCTCAGCCCTATGTAGTTAGGGTTTAGGAGCATTGAAGTGTTTGTTTATACATATAACTTCTGTCAACGGTTCTTAAGTAGATAACTACAAAAAAACCTTTAGCGACCCAGTCAGCGCTGTTTGACAACATTAAATATAGTACATGATAGTCCATTGTTTTGTTGATGGCAAGAATCCAGTATGAATTAAAATATCTTATTTTTTTCATTATTATTTTAATATTTGAATAAAAATAAATATTCAAGCCATTTATATACGTACATAATTTTAATTTTAATATAAAAGAATCTGCACCCTACTTATATGATCAACAGATCAAAATTAGTTAACTGTTCACTAATTTATTAAGCATTTGGGCTTTAAAAAAATATATTTTAGACACAATGTCACAAAGATGTTATGTAGAGTTGATGAGTAAACTCGATATAATAGGTTTTGTAATATATATTTTAATGTATATTTTTATGTATTTTAATAATTTTGTATTATAATTTTAATTACAACAATAGTGCGCATACCATGAAGTACGCTATAGATTCAAACTCTCTCTGGTTTCCAAATAACATTCGGTTTATATTTTTTGTCAAAACATTACCTTTTGAATATCCATTTGTCAAAATGTGTTTCATTTCATTATATTTTATTGTCTTTATATCCCCACATATAACGTAGGTACATAATACATAATACATATATATATTGTGATTGAATTATTTTTTTTTTAGATAACACGATTGTTCAAGAAAAATATAGCCATACCAAATAAGTTTATATTTTTAATACAAAAAATATATAAGTTAAACATAAAAAGTAAATTAAATTGTAGTACGTCTCAAAGTATCATTAATTGTGTTTGAAAAATAACAAGTCAATGGAATCGTAAGGATGTAGCTCATAAATACATTTATTACCGTGCAAGGAAATTGATTAGGTAGTGTGATTGTGGGTAGGAGACGAAATTGCCCACGTGGTTCCAAGGTCAATCTTTGATAATAACTTCAACCGGAATCAAAATACCCTGCGTGTATTTCAGTAATTAAGTACTATTCATAAATTCACCGAAGGTTTTAGAAAAATTGAAATATATGAAACATGCCATCGGTTTTTTGTAAAATATGTTCATACAATTTGAGTGGAAAAAATTCTACGATAATATATACATAACATTGACTTTTGCACAAGAATGATGATTTGAACAATACACTGAATTACGTTTACAATTGCTTTAATTATTTACGAAGACAATTTTGGGAAATATTTTATATGTTATATACTGTTATGCATTTGCATTGCACTTGATACATATTATTTACACAAACATAATATATTATACATAATATAAAATATGTCCGTTTGAATGATAATACTAGTCAATTTTTTTGGTTGAATGAATAATAATAGAATGACTTTTTTAAAGATAACGCATACATAACATTGTATAAGTACGCACAAAGAAAGTACAAACAAATATTAGTTTTATAATATGTATTTACAACACAATTTTCCAACAAGTTAAAAAAGAAACGGTACCGTTACTAAATATTATAATAGTAACAGATTAATAAATGTTTCATTAATTCCCACGTAAAATAGTTTCTTCGAGTTCGTTTAAAAGATATGGTTAAGATTTAAAAGTCTTAAAAACTTTTTCTTTTACTTTAAGTCCCAGGTAAGATTATATTTTAAGACGGAGAAAACAAGACAACATTATTTGTTCTTACTTACAACTACAGGCACTGTAGTACACGTCATGCGGTCATATAATATTTAAACGTTCAGCAACAACCGTTAATAATGTTTAAAAGGATTTCTATTTTTTTTTTTTTTTTGGCAAAAATAAGTTCAAAACGCCAAGTGCTGATAAATGATGTTTGACTCATGTCAACATGCCTTCTGGGAGAAGTCGCCTCTTACACTGTGATCAAAATCGTATTATTTATTCGTCGACTATTCGTAAAACGTGTGTGTATTCAAACGGCACACACTTGTCATTCTAAAAATTATTTATAAGACTCGCAGAAATATGATTGTGCATTTAAAATGACGAGAACTGTTTGGTGCGGTAGTAGGTATATTCGTTTTGGTATGTCACCGGGGACTAGAAGTGCCACGCGCACGATACCTATATTCAGTACACATGAAAAAAATATGAAAATTGTCCACTATGATATAATTTATATCCTACATGGGTTAGGTTAGGGGTGTTTCGAAGTGCAAGTTTACGAATTCACAAAATGTAGGATGTGTATATTATATTGTAACGATGAATAACAATGGAATTCCGTACGAAACGAATAATAATAAATAAAAGCCAGAGAGTTCACTCACTCATATTTCTGTAAGCATACGTTTTGAATGTGCATCATCGAGTATTATCTTAATAATATTATCATATTAAATCATGGTCGTACGGTTAGGTTAGGCCTAGTCATTTGAGTGCAATCAATAAAACAATTTTTAGCAGATATCGCTGTGATGTCTCACGATGTATTTTTAAGTATTCGGTATGTTTAACATTACATCAAAAAAGAGTATGTACGAATGAAATATATGATTTATATGTTATATTTATTAGTGTATAAAAACTTAAAAATATTAAATGTCTACATAAATAACCTAACATTTCAGAAAAATTGAACATTGAATTACTGGCATATTGTATCAATAATTATATATTTGGTTTAAATTTCAGAATTGAAGAAAGATTTTTGATGGAATTACAAAGAAATAACAATAGGTACTAGGATAAAACTGTGATTTTCCGTTCTCTTCCTTTGTTTCGATAGTTTTTGCTTAATCATTTATTACAAAATATATTATCCAAAAACCGAAAAATTACTTTTTAAAAGTTCTCTCAATAAGATAAAATTGTCTACTGGAAAATGGTTGGATATACATAATACATGTATTGATTGAATCAAGTTTTCTGATCAAAAAGTTGTCCAAAGATAAAAAAAATTAGTAAACAACGCATTGTATAACCACTAGTTCCCTCCCTCTGATCAGAATCTAAAACGCATTGAATTAAATAATAATAGCGAATTATCCTCGTACATTTGTTTTTTGTAAGTTGGTGTTTAAATACCTAAACTTATATAGTGTAACTAATATTATAGCTACTATATACTTTTTTTTCTCGTTATATAACACATGTATTTTGTGTGTATAGATTTAAAATAAATATCTCGAGACACCGGTAAAAGTGGCATTTATTTATATAATATACACAATCAAAAGTTTATTGTTCGCGTAAAGGTGAATATCACGAAACTTTAAGACGGTCATTAAAACTTATTGTGGTTGAAAAACTAGTGAATTTCATATCATCGTTGAGACATACTTGTACACAAAAAAATACATTTCTAATCCAGTGAATTTTAATGTATGCATTTTATTATTTTATTTATACAAATAAAATCGTCTTGTTATAACACAAATTCTAACATACCACATACAATTCATATTATTATATATTTATTTGTATCATATAATTATCTTATATACTTTTTTTTTTCTTCTTTATGCTCTAATATCATTAAGTAAATTATAATTAAACTGTAACATGTATATCTTAAACGCCAAAAACCCTGGCAGTTGAGGCGTATTTCTAAATAAAAAAAAATCGTCTTGTATCGATATTATTGATTTCTTACATATTTAGGTAAGGTATATAGTATAAACTATAATGATATACTATATAGAGGAACGAATAGAATAAACAGTAGAATCTCAATGTCTTTACAATTCTATAAGTAGAAACCTGAAAGAGCAAATAAATTCACTCAATTGTGTTGCTATATATACACTTAAATACAATATGCATTATTCAATAATTCGAGATTCGTGGTAAACCCAATGTGTGTGTATATATTTTTTCCATCCGCTCCTTTATTATGAAACGTTTACACATTTACACCCAACTTAATATCGAATATTATCAGTTCGAGGAGGATTACCGTTATTTTATCTTTAAGTCGAATATTTCTAGCAGTGATAATAATATGTATTAATTTGGATTAAGTTTTTATTTGTAAAAATCATTGTAATATAGGAATGGTATATAAAATATTGCACTGACCTCAGTTCCTTGGACTTTCAACTTCATGTGGTCTTCACGAGTAGTCTTGCCGTCTTTTCTTTTTTTCCAACAATATCCATCACGCCTGTACCGCACTTTCTTCCTGCTGTACAATAACATTGAACCACTCTTGGGCCTAAAAATATAGTATCAGTTGTTAAATATACTCAATCAAGACTTAATATTCAGCAGTTAAGTTGGTTAAAAAATAAATTAGAAGTATTATTTCTATATAAACAATAAGTACAATATTTAGTATCAATATTCAATAGTACATGTAATATGTGTAATTTTATATACATGTAATTTATTGGCTTATTGTATAAGTAATTATAATTAGTAGTTTAATTATATTAAAAATAAATAATATTAGACGTATTGAAATTTAAATAAATTTTTTCGAACACCAGTAGCTTAGGAAAAAGAAAATAATAATTAAAGTTATTAAATTGTTACGCCTTATTTTAGCAAACTATCTGCTTCTTTCTACATTTTTTGAAACATTTTTATAATTTTGAATTGAAATTTTTGATTTTATAACTGAAAATCAGTTTTAATTTTGAACATTTGGTCAATGCATTTTTAATGATATTTAATTTATGTTGTAGACACCTATAGTTATAGATCATTTTTTTTAATAACATTTTAAAATACAATAAAATACATTATATTATATGGTTTGATCAAATTGTCTAAATGGATACCTAAGAGCACTGTTATAATCTTTTAAAATGCAGGGTTGTATTGAGCAGTTAAAACACAATTAAATATATATATATTAATTACCAATGTTAAATTACTTTCATTAGAAATGTTGGTAACACAAGACCAATACAATCATTTAATTACCGTGCGTTTTAAAATATATAATAATATTAAATTATTGATATAAAACAATTAAAGATTCATCGCTCAGCCCCTGAATATAAAATGATAAATGTAGGGACAGATGTCAAAATAATAGAAAGTCTTCAAAACGCCAAAAGGTAAATCAGCAATAGATAGCACAGATAAGTCACCCGAATGAAAATTCACCAAATGTAAAAAACTCAATTTTAATGTTGAATTGAAATGAGATAAAACATTACAAATATATTAAGGATGGAAATATTTGAAACTTCATATATTTATTTAAAATAGCTAGTAGTGAAACATCATTGAACGAAATACCTAGTTATTAGCTATTGATAAAAGATTAAAGTTTTTATCCGTAGTCAGAAATGCAATATTTTTTTTTTCATAAAAAGCAAAATAATGTTATAGTTAAATAGATAGAATATATTCACTCTTTATTTTTACGAAGCAGTGTTCAAATAGAATAAGTAATGGCTTAGTAACTAATTATTTTGTAGCATCAATAAAATAATACATGACCTAGATTTATAAAATTCTAAACCGTATTATGTAGGACGGAAAGTTTTTAATAATTACATTGCAAAATACATTGTTTTTAAATTAAACATAAACACTTTTAATAATACGTGAGCAAACACTTTTCTAATCTCAACTAATCACATGATAATGTTGAAATAATGTGGTTAAAAAATAAAAATGAACAATAAAACATAAAAATGTGGTCAAGATCCAATCTATAATTAATTCAAAAATAATTTTTCCCGTGCAGGATAGAACTAATGTAGTCATTTATTAGCCATTTTTCAAATGTATAATAAATCAAAAAACAAATTGTCATACAGTTGATTATAATAATAATATATTATGATAAACCGGCTGAACTATATTTGTGGGTGTCTGCAACAATTAAATTTATTGATGTATGTATTTTTTCCGTTACAAAAATATTCATTTTTATTTCTCTATTCCTATTATAATATTATCAGATTGATTATGAAAAACTGTATCAACAAAAGCCTAACAAATAATAATAAGTAAATAGTTATAGATTTTATACAGAAATCCTAATGTATTTAAAAATATGTTATTTATAGTTGAAGGACCATTCATAATTAAATAATATTTGGAAACTTCCTAAATTTTTTTTGTTTTTTAAATAGTTACATCCTTAGGTATGCAGATTAAAAAAAAATCGACTTGAATTCGTACAACTTTTTCAAAGAGACGTTGATTTCCTCTCTTTCTCCCTCTAAATTACTGGCACTTAAAATGTTTCTGGTGTTCTTTAAGGGTATAAAAAAAAAAACAAGCACCAGAGGTTTTCGTAAATGATCTTTGCTTCTGAATCGCCGTTATAGTGCTCTCTCGAGTAGCTTCTTGACGGGTGACAATTTAATTATTTATTCCTCGTTTATTCGAAAACTTTTCAATCGCGGGAGAAAGGCTACGAAAACATCAACTTCATTTGCAAACTTTAAAATGAAAGTTTTTTTTTCGCACTGTTTTGAAAAACAAGTCAACAACACTCTGCTGTTAGTTATTCACGGAGTGTAGAACTAAAAAAACGAACACGTAGCCTTGAAAGTCATTAAAGAAAACCTCCGGTTCGAGATCATCCGGATGCTTTTTTTTTTTACTCTACCTAGTTACCGATGAGTGCATGTAATATGACATGTTTGAATTCGTCGTTACAGATTTATAAAGTTATACATTGAATACAATGTCTAGATCTTCGCTAAAGTACATCGAAAGCGCCACCATCTTAACCACGGTTTTTGAAATATTCTAGTCCGTCACAGAGTTAACGTTTCAGTGTCATTAGGCATCAATGAACGTCATTACGAAAGTGTTTTCAGTAAATGGCCATATTACTAAACTGTTAACTAGCAATTTAAGCACCTAATTAAACAGATTTATTATTATAAAATGTTTATTAAAGATGATGCAATCAATTATTATGTTTTAGAATATTCATCGCAGTGTTCAAACCACATGATTTCCTTATGGCGTTTGAACTAAAAACATGCAAATTAGTCAGACTCAAAAAACATTAACATGCTACCAGGAATAAATAATAATAATACTAATGATTTAGATATTAATAATTAGGGCTCGGAAATTAATGCGCTTAAAAAAGTACAAATATGCTCTAAAAATATGCACTTATATTTTATTTTTTGACACAAAATTTTCATTTGCAGAAATATTTTATAAAATTATAAATATGGAAAAAGCAAAGTAATAAAAATAATTTTGGTTTTTAATTTTTAATTTTTAATCATAATTTAAACAACAACAAAATTGTATAAAAATGCCTCCAAAATGTTCTTTGAATAAAATAAATACGTATAAGTCGGAACTGACAATAATATCTCGGCAGTAGGTCTATTAATCCCATCAGCCCATCAACAATAAACATTGAATTATTTCCCTAGATAAGTATTTATAGAAAATCATCATATTTTTATTGCAGCTGTTTCTATTTTCTATTTATTTTCTATTTATATAATATTCCATTTTAGATAAAGCAAGCTGTAGTTATAATTCATAAATATTTATACATTATATAGAAGAAAAACATTGTTTTTGATGTCGAATGGAAATTTAAAAAATACGATACAGGAATATCTAATAAATTCTTTCAATATAAACCTATTTATTATTTTATTTACTAATCTTCATATATTATAATTTATAAAATATACTCTAAAAAAATGTAAAATTAAGAAATATGCTCTAAACTCTAAAAATCATTAAATATGCAAAAATATGCAGTATAAACTTTTGATATGTTTTTCGTAGTTTCTTAGAATGAATTTCTAGCTCACTTAGCAATAAATCTAACGATCCAAAAAAAACATGCAAATGCAACAACTTCCGAGCCCTATTAATAATATTATAGTGTTTAATAAACTAATATAAGAGTGATAATTATATTAACATTATTAATACTTTTATAGTTTTTGAAAATTTTCCAAGACCACAGTAAAAGTTTTAAAAAGGCACTACGCACTTATAAGGAGTATAATATGCAGTATACATAAGCAGCAGTGCAGAGCCCTACTTACAGATTTTGGGACCCGGAGCTAATTTCTTGGTGAGCCCTCTAGACTTAAATTATTAGTAATATAGATTACTATATAATAATTACCTATACAAATTCAATTTTTTTCACTCTATCGTTTTTTTATATTCAATTTATTTTTAAGATTATAAATCAATTATACCATAAGACTATAGATAATTATTTAATGCAGATTGCTATCAATAATACGTTTATGACTGTATCAAAGTTATAAATGGAGCGCTTAATTATGTGGGGGGGCCGGAAATACAGCCCCCCCTAGTCCAAACAAGTAAGGCTTTGCAGCAGTGGTGGTCAAATAATTTTGACAGTGGGTGATGTGGCTGATTTTTTATCATACACAATTTGATCATTAAAAATATAATATTTATACCATTTAATACCTATACCTAACTAAGTTATTATAAACATTGAAAATAAGGTCATTGGGTAATATATCATCAACTGATAAACAGAGTGTTTATCTTAACTCATTCATGTCATTATTATTTAGTTGTAACATAATTTAAAAACCTGTTCTCTATTTGTATGGATGTAATAGTATAATTTACAATCGGTTTAATTTCAAATTAAGAACTTTACAGTGCTAAAAAGTATTTCTTGAAAAACATCGTCTCGTGATTTTAAAATAACTTTGAATAAATTCACTTTTTTATAGTTTTACATAGTATAAAATAAATTTAACAGTATACATTTTAAGGAATATAAAATTGAACTACTTGACAGTTGACAATAATTAATTATTATTCTTTATTGAGATCTTAAACTAAAATTTTTAAAATTATTATTATAAGAACGAAAATTCAATGAACTCCTAATCCTTGTTATTAATCACTCCAACCAAACTAAACAAAAACAAAAAAGTAAAAATAAATTTTTATTACATGAAATTTATGTTATCTTATTGCTTACACAGTGGAAATAATGTGTTAAGTTTAATTTATAGTATGATTGCATCGGTATTTAATGTGAAATTATGTATTATCCAATGTTCTGTGCAGGTCAAACTATTTTTTCTTTAGTGTCCTGTGATACCTACTTGTAAATTCCATTTCCAGTTTCGGAGTTTTCAGTTCTCTCGTTTTTAATACATTTATTTTATTTTTAGTTAGTCTACAAAAATCACTCGTATAATTATTTGATTTATTATATCCTGAGCATTTGGATTTCTGTGCACGAATCTTGTCCAGCGTATA